ATGATATACAGTGCAGTCATCTTCTCTGTATCATTAACTTTATACTGCTGGAATGGGACCCACAAATGGGCCATCCCCAAAATAATATAGACAATAATAATAAGATGTTTTCTCCCAATAACAAAAGTCACAGCTTTGAGTTTGCTAACGTTGAGCAGAGCTGCGGCTGATAGGTCTTTCTGGAGGTTGCTGCTAAAAAGGGTTGCAACATGTTGGCAGTGATTGGATTAGCAAGTAATAAGAAAAACCTGGGCAGCAGGCTCAGCCAGCACACTGGTCACTCGATCACAGCCCTTCCACTCATGTGATTTATCTTTATTCTATTTAAAACTATAAAAAGAAGTTATAATGCTGCACCTATACATTTAAATCAACATACAACATTTTATGTAAACCAGTGTCCTCTTTTTTTTCCTCATGTGATTTATCTTTATTCTATTTAAACTATAAAAAGAAGTGTCCTCTTTTTTCCTTCCTTTTTGTTCCCAGATCCCCCCTACCCAGCCAGAGTGGCCACTGGCCAAATTGGCTAGAAGATTCTCGAAGCTGTAAGCCAGAACGACGTTTCTGAGGCCTGCTCAGAAGCTTTAGGTATATCACATGTCGTCCTCAGAGGTCCTTGCAACAGCAATGCCGGGCCATGAATGTCAAAGAGGTGAATGAAAAAGATACACAGGTGCCCAAATTAAGGTGCAACATACGCAGAACTCTCCTAAGATATCTTTAATATAAATCCTCCCACCGCATACACACATATCTAAAATCTACTCATGTCTAGTACCGTGTTTCCCCGAAAATAAGACAGGGTCTTATATTAATTTTTGCTCCAAAAATGCATTAGGGGTTATTTTCAGGGGATGTTTTGTTTAAAATCATGTCATGGTTGCTGCACAATGGTGGATGGTGGGGTTTCACTTAACTGGAGCTTATTTTTTGGGGTAAGGCTTATATTACGAGCATCCTGAAAAATCATACTAGGGCTTATTTTCAGGTTAAGTCTTATTTTCAGGGAAACAGGGTAACTCTAATTTAGATTGCATCCCCTTAATCTGACTGATAAAAAACTAGGAAGGGAACTCCAAGGTGGTGGTCATTTCTTTTTCTGGTAGTATACTGTTTTTCTTATTTTATCCCCCAGTTTTGGGAAATGCTAACATATTGTCCCCCTTCATGGATTGCTGTCTTGTCGTGGCGAAGGGTATTGAGTAATTCAGAGAAGCTATGGGCTATGCCGTGCAGAGAAACCCAAGATGGACAGGTCATAGTGGAGAGTTCTGACTAAACACGATCCACCTGGAGCAGGAACTGGCAAGCCACTCCAGTATTTTTGCCAAGAAAACCCCATGAACGGCTAAAAGATATGACGCTGGAAACTGGGCCCCTCAGGTCGGAAGGCATTCAACATGCTACTGAGGAAGAGCGGAGGACAAGGACAAGTAGCTCCAGAGCTAATGAAGTGGTTGGGCCATGCGGACACGTGTGGAAGTGAAAGGAAATTCTTATTTATTTATGTATGTATTTATTTATTTGATTTATATCCCACCCATCTGATATATACGACCACTCTAGGTGGCTAATGGTTGTTGTGGGTTTTTCGGGGTCTTTGGCCGTGTTCTGAATGTTGTTCTTCCTAACGTTTCGCCAGTCTCTGTGGCTGGCATCTTCAGAGGACAGCACTCTGTGCTCTGATGCTGCAAAGAAAAATACTTCTGATGTTGCAAAGAAAAATACTTCTGACGCTGCAAAGAAAAATACTTCATAGGAACCTGGAATGTAAGATCTATGAACCTTGGTAAGCCAGATGTGGTCAAACAGGAGATGAGCTCACCTTGCCAACAAAGGTCCGCATAGTCAAAGCTGTGGTTTTTCCAGTCCAAACCAGGCATGTATGGAAGTGAGAGCTGGACCCTAAAGAAGGCTGACCGCTGAAGAACTGATGCTTTTGAACTGTGGTGCTGGAGGAGACTCTTGAGAGTCCCCTGGACTACCAGGAGATCAAACCTATCAATTCTGAAGGACATCAACCCTGAGTGCTCACTGGAAGGACAGATCCTGAATCTGAGCCTCCAATACATTGGCCATCTCATAAGAAGACTCCCTGGAAAAGACCCTGATGTTGGGCAAGAGTGAGGGCAAGAGGAGGAGGGACGAAAAAGGACAAGATGACTGGACAGTGTCGTCAAAACTACCAACATGAATTTGACCCAACTCCGGGAGGCAGTGGAAGACAGGGGGGCCTGGTGTGCTCTCATCCATGGGGTCATGAAGAGTCAGAGATGACTTAAAGACTAAGCAACAACAATTTACTGTCTCCCCAGTCTGGAAAAGCACCAGCCTCTCGGAGAAAATTCAGTGAGGTGGTAAAGGAGAAGACCCCCCATCTGACTGGGCCATCAGCTCAGAAGAATGATTCTTTGCTCTTAATTGAAGAAATGTCTACATCACAAAAGCTCAATGTAAGATCACCATTTTAAAGAAAGCCTTGTCATTACTGCAGCTTTCTTGGTGTGCTAAAGAGGATATATCCATTAATCACTTCTTCTCCAAGATGAGCTGTTTGTCTATGCATCTGAACTGTGGACAGTTGCATCACAATGGCCAAGGCTGAGAGGCCAGCTTTGTGTTAATGAGGCCTTATCTGCTCAGAGACCCTCATCAGCCCAGGGGTTACTCTCAGTCCAAACAAGGCATTGTTGAAAATTTCATGTTTTAAATCCTTTCCCAGATAGTTAAAATAAAAGGTTTCTCTTACCCAGGAGCCAAGGTTTTGCTGCCTGAGGTGAAGGACAAGACAAAAGGGTGCCCCTTTCCCCTGCTGCCTGAGGTGACTGCTTCGTTATATATAATTCCAGTATAATACCAGGCTAGGCCTCCCTCTTACCAGTTATAGCCACAGAATTTGGACGTTAACTTTTTGGAACTGGAACTGCTAAGATCCCCCAATCAGCAGGGTCCTTTGCCATGCTGGCTGGGAGTTTTAAGGCATAAGTAACCTTTTTGAGGGCTAAACAGTCATGCTAGCAGGTCAGTTTAGCATCTGTGGTACAAAACATATTATGGAGACTGGAAGTGTTATTTGGCTTAAACATCTTAAAGTTCTTGGTTCAAATTTCTTGTCAGCCATTAACTTAGTGGGTTGTTTGTGGGCCAAACTATGTTTTACAACAGCATACATTTGTAACAACCACCTACACTTTATTTTTAGGAATAGAAAGCAGCTGCAGAACAGTGAATTTTACTGGAAGACCACATTCTGTCCAGTGCTGCATAAAAGGAACATATAACCTTTAAAAAAGGAAACAACCCAAAACCAAAATTATTTTTACAAAATGAGTCCAGAGGACTTCACAAAATAGCAGAACATTTTTCTAGGGCATAGCGTTGCGATTATGACCACATATTTATGCATTATATATTTATACTTCATTTGTGTTGCCCACATTAATCTTTGAGCCTCAAAATGAAATCTGAAAGGCATGCTAGCTTGGTTAGTCATGCCTTGGTTGGACTGTGATTCAGAAGGCCTGGGTTCAAATCAATACGTGGACATGGAAAGTCACTTGTTGCGGGCTGGGTGGCACCTGTGAAACCACACCTTAAATATTTCACATACCTCAGAATCCAACTAGGGATACTAAGTCAGCATTGACCTGAAGGCACAAAAGACACACAAATTGCCTTCTTTCCAGCATTATACCATACATATTTACTCAGTGGTAAGTCTCTCTGGGTTCAGTGGGGCTTATTTCTGAACAACACTCTAGAATCAGAATGTATATAATATACAGACTTTTAAAAACAAAATAATAGCTACCATTCATTTTCAGAGTAGAAAAATCTTTATAGAATAAGCTTTGTCTACATAAATAATTTGAACATTTTTCTCAGTAGCACTTCTTTCACTGAAAGTAACACTGAAAAACCTCCAAGGTTAATACAACAACTTTCCAAAAGCTTCATGTGAAACTCCAACCCTAAGCTAAGACACAATGGACTTTGGGAAGTAAATACCTGTCCCTCCTTCTTTCATATTTGTATTAAGACCATCATGGATCCAAATACTGATATGTATGCACGCACATCCACAATAGAATTGTGGCAAGTCAAAAGGCCTGGAAGCTTACTCAGTGCAAAAGCACCTTTTGTTATAAAAATACAGGTAAATGACCCACAATGACTAGAAAACAGCTGAAGCAGGTAAGATTACTATAATCTAGAACTATGTGTCTGTGAGAGGAAACAAAGCAGAATAGCAATCAAATAGTTTGAGAAGAGACATGACCAGGAGCAACAAAATTTGGCACTCTAAAAAGCACTTTTTTGCATAGCTGTCTCTCTTAACAATTTAAGGCTAGGCAGTGGGGAATTCAGGGATGTGGTGGTGGTGTGGGCTAAACCGCAGAAGCCTTTGTGTGCTGCAGGGTCAGAAGACCAGCAGTCGTAAGATCGAATCCACGCGACGGATTGAGCTCCCGTCGCTTTGTCCCAGCTCCTCGCCAACCTAGCAGTTCAAAAGCATATCAATGCGAGTAGATAAATAGGTACCATCTCGATGGGAAGGTAAACAGCGTTCCGAATCTAAGTCGCACTGGCCACGTGACAACGGAAACTGTCTTCGGACAAACGCTGGCTCCACGGCTTGGAAACGGGGATGAGCACCGCCCCCTAGAGTCGGACACGACTGACTAAAATACACGCAGCTGAACCTACCTCCATGCATGTATTGCTTTGAAGTATTAAGGCAACAAGCCAGACCATAAACAATGTACAGTACTTGCAGTAATATCCATTCCAAAGCTTGGGATGCTATTTTTTTGATGCAGAAAGCAGCAATCCATAGATTGAAATAGAACAATGTACATAGCCTGGAAGGAGATATATAACTCGGCAAGTTAATACTGATTCAGATGGCATTTTTCAGAAGGGAGGATTTGGTTTGATCACTGTAATAACATCCTTTGTCTCAGTCAAAACTGGCGCGCGCGCACAAATCCCATATTTAAAAAAAAAGCCACACCACTTCTTAAGAGTCTGAAAAAGTGAAAATTAGTCCTGGTGATCACTGCCTGAGTTCTTCTTGTGCACTGGTTCTGTAGCTCTTCAGGCTTTCTGTCAGAGGCTTCCTGAGAATGCAGATCGTTTAATATAAACCACCATGTTCCCTTCTGGAATTAGATCAGAGAAGTTGCTTTGAAACAAAGCAAGGGGACGTCCTGGAGGGGGAAAAATAATTGGGGATGGGAGGCAGAGACAAGACAGAACAAAACAAGTTCAGGAAAAGTATCAAAAGGAATTCTCTGTGACACAGCTTTGAGAGTAAATGAGACACTGAAACATTGCAAGAAGTAAAAATAGCCGGGCTAGCTCTGACAGTATGCAGGGTGAGGTGGAGGGTGGCAGAGGGGCAAATTCTGTCCTTCCCCACTGGAAGAGCTGCTACTGCCTGGAGGACCACTGTTGCCCCTACCATCTTGGGCAAACCTTCTTGTCCCTTTTTTGAGTTTCTTTGTCCCACCTCACTTACACTTATTCTGACCTCTTGCCTTTCAGAAGATGGCCATCTCCCACAGATGGAGAGGGGTGATCTGTATGGGTCCCAGCCCAGGAAAGAAATTGGGAAACTGCAAAGTTGCCTGGGCAAGCTGGTGGTCATTGTGCAGGATACATGCGTGTTTTGTAGTGAGGGTTGTTAAGAATGGAGAACCATCAAGAGATGGAGAGGGGAGTCAGGCACCAGGAGAGGGAAGTCAGGAAAGAAGGGAAACTAGGAGGGTGAATGGGAGATAGCTAGTAGAGAAGTATCTGAGGCAAGTGCTGCAGAAGAAGCATTTCCTCTGTGCACAACAGGATTCAGTCAGCAGAATGAGCAGAAGACAGAAGGCCGCTTAGAGTGGTCAATACGACCAGATAGGCGGGGTATAAATGGAATAGATAGATAGATAGATAGATAGATAGATAGATAGATAGATAGATAGATAGATAGATAGATAGATAGATAGATAGATAGATAGATAGATAGATAGATAGATAGATAGATAGAGAAAATTGTCTATGGAAGGAAGGAATTGTCTATGGAAGGAAGGAAAGTAGACAGGGCGATAGACTTGCCTTGATTGTTCAGAAGGTTATGATCATCAAAGTCCCGTCCTCTCTCTTAACTTCTATTTCTTTTTCTCAGTCTTAAAAATCCTGAATGTTTCACTCCAACTTTTCAAAATTATTGTTCACAAGCAGTTAGAGAATCCTCACTCCCTCACTCTCCTCCTATTTTTGTTTTTCTGGGTACCATAATGTTTTCCTCCTCTTTCTCCATCGTGTGGTTGCACAGATCACTCCTCTCCATCCATGAGCACTCGGCCATCAGGTTGCTGCTGAAGACTCCCTCACTCTCCTCCTATTTTTGTTTTTCTGGGTACCATAATGTTTTCCTCCTCTTTCTCCATCATGTGGTTGCACAGATCACTCCTCTCCATCCATGAGTACTCGGCCATCATGTTGTTGCTGCTGCAGCCTTCCTCTCTCTTTCCCTCCCTCTGCGGTGCATCTCAACCTTCTCCTTCCCTCCCATGACTCTGGTGACCTCTTTCTATGCTCACACAGCATCCTCTTCTGCTTGTTTTGTTGCTGCTGTTCCTGCCGCCATCACCAGCACTGATCACTTTGTTGTGTCTGCCATTCAAAGCAGTTGGTGAATCTTAATGAGGTCTCATGCCCAATATGACCTGGGGAGTACAGGACATAGGGTGGCAGACTGCACACATGAAAATGGGCAGATAGATGGCAGGCAGTGGCAACGCTTCTCCAGCCTCAGGCAGCTGGAGCATTTGGGCTACTGCAGCAAAAGGAGGTGTTCCATCTATGGCTCTTGGTATCCAAATGTCCCAGCAATCTTTCTTTATGCTTTCTCATAGGAGTACACAATCAAGAGCAAAACTCATCTAATATTTGCTACAGGACGGTGCCAAAAGCACTCATTCTCTTGGGTTTATCTCCATCCTGGCCAAATACTTTGTAGGGGGTACAGTATTTCTATGTGTGTAATCGAAAACTAGACAACTAGTTAAGCAGCTGGCATAGTATTACAAGTTTCAAGGTATTTTCAGGGTAGTTTGAGAGATTCCCTGAGATTATTGGAGATATACTAAAAAAAACAACACCCTGCATTCCTCATTAAAGGCCATTACAAGTTTCAAGGTATTTTCAGGGTAGGGTGGGAGATTCCCTGAGATTATCGGAGATATACAGTACTAAAAAATAACACCCTGCATTCCTCATTAAAGGCTGTAGTTAAAATCTTGTAAAAGCATTAGTTAAAAATCAGATAATTAAAAAAAATCATGCTACTTCAGTGAAAGTCTGTAATCAATGCTAATTGCCTTTGACAAATCTGTCATCTGACAATTTAGGAGGCTGATAAAAAAATGTCTTAAATATGATTGTTATGAGTCCAGCTGTCATTTTTCACCTTTAATCTAAATACCCAGAAGTAACTCTAGTCATACTGCACAGATTATATAAATTTTCTAATTCACATCTTTGGCTAATGAACAGTGAACATATTTAATGGGGCAGAGTAATGAAGATGTTTTATGGCCCCAAAATATTTATGATCTGACTTTGGACAAAAAGATTTACCATGAAAGAAAAAAAGTTAGCCCAGTATGACTGAAAATGCGCTACTGAGTATAACTCATTTACTTCTGAGTTTAAGGAAGTTGCATTCCGACATCACCTAAAGAGCTACATGCTGCACTTAAGTGAATCTTGAATATGTCAACCAGACTATATATTAGGAAGAAACCAGAGGTGTTTTTTTAAAAAAATACTCTTACCTGTCCATGTCCTCCGTGGAGTGATGATGAAATGTTGACATTGTGGATGGGAACTGCAAATGGATGCTGCTTCCTCTGGGTTGTGGACAGAGAGCATGCATCCCAAATGGTGATAAGATGGCCAGCATTTATAGTCTTCTGCATCCCTGCTCTGGAATCCCTTTAAGGCAACATAATCTTGGCAGGGGGAAGGAAAGGGAAGAAGAAGGCAAATTATTATTTCTGCATATGTAGCACAGTTGAAAGCTAAATGTTTCAGACAGAGTAATGTGAAATAGAAGCAAGAGTTTGCTGAACGGTGTTTTGCTTTCATGGCTGGGCAATCTCCTCTAAAACTGAGGAGCTGTCTTTAGATCTTGTGTTTTGCTGAAGTTGAGGATTCCTGAATTGGCAGGGGTTGACTATATGATCCATGGTGTCCCTTCCAGCTCTCCACTTGTACAATTCTTTGTTTTATTTATTTATTTTCACCTTTATACTGCCCATCCAGCGTATTACAACATATATAAATTCTCTTACTGATCTCTGGCAAAAACATGCAAAATCTGATGTGAATCTGGTTTCTTACACACATACTTGATGCCCTGGGACATTCTGAAGATATGTTAACAAAAACATACTCCACTATATTAGCAGAAACAAAATGGTCCTGCTGCAATTCTAAAGGGCACATATATGCACTCCACAAGCCAGTATGTGATTGTACCCCTGAGAAACATGGCAGCAGCACTTTGTTTCCCAGAGAGGAAAGGACTGGAAGTTACAAACAGGACTTCAGCCATTTTGTTCTTCTCTTTATGACAAAAGGCATCTATATGTAACCCCCTTTCAACATTTCCAGCCAGGCTGAAAAGTCCAACTCAGTTTCAGCCTTCTGGTCTGTAAACAGGAAATGAGCTTCCTAGCTTGGAAACCGCTAGATCGCCATTCCATTTATCATATTCTTATATCTTATCATTAACCTGAGATAACAGCAAAAGAAGCTTATAGGCCTGATGATGAATGCCCATAGGCTACATCCAATAGGCTCCCAATCTCTAGCGCAGAACACCTGTACAGTGGACCCTCGACTTACAGACAGCTCGATTTACAGACTTTTCAAGTTACACACACTTCTCTGGCCGCAAAATTTAGGTTCGACTTGCAGCCTGAGAATCGACCTACAGACCAGAAAAAAACCAAAATGGAACAAAAACGGCCGGTTATGGGATTAATCAGTTTTCAATGCATTGTAGGTCAATGGAAACTCGACCTATAGACTTTTCAACCTGCAGCCACTGTTCCAATACAGATTAATTCCGTAAGTAGAGGGTCCTCTGTATAGTTGTTTTTACGTGTGGGTGGAGCTTTTTCTCACTCGACCTACAGACTTTTCGACCTGCAGCCACCGGTCCAATAAGGATTAATTCCGCAAGTAGAGGGTCCACTGTATAGTTGCTTTTACGTGTGGGTGGAGCTTTTTCTCATGAGCAGAAACCCTCTATGGCCCAGAGTAACTGATTTCAAAGTTGAGTTCATAGAATCATAGCATAGTGGCACTCCTGCTCAATGCAGGAGTTGTATGGGTTAAAGCAGAAACCCTCTATGGCCCAGAGTAACTGATTGCAAAGTTGAGTTCATAGAATCATAACATAATGGCACTCAAAGGGGCCTATAAGGCCATTGAGTTCAATTCCCTGCTCAATGCAGGAGTTGTATGGTTGGGAGTTGCAGTTCAAAAACATCCGAGTAACCAAGGTTGGGAACCTAGGGGTTAAGCTACCAGTATACATGAATAGCTAGTTGATACATCAGTATTAAGTTAGAAGTCATAGTCCTTTATATGTTCATATGAATGGAAATATAAGAAGAGAGGAAGACATTAAATCTCATTCAACAGCCTTTGCAGTCAGCTGGCCTTTATCCAAGGAAAACAAGCTGGGCCAAATTCCCATTGAAATACATTAGATTTACAGTGGCCATGACTCGTTCCCTCTATCAGTGTCAGTGGAACATATTTAAACATAACTCATTGTCTTCACTGGGAGCACTTGAGCAGATTCTCTAAGGACTGACATAGCTCACAGAGGTTAAATCACCATGTCAAGGGCTTATAAGCATCATGTAAAATCTGTACCTTTCAAATAAGTAGTTTTTTTCTGCAGATAAAGTCCTGATTTGTACAAATGCAAAACTTTCTGAAATGCTCTCAGGGTTTCATTTGCTCCAAATTGCAGATTACCTATGTTTACAGGGGGGGAAGCAACATGTTTTAAGAAGGAAGAAGCTGTTATTATTTAAATTATTTGCAAATTTTCATATTTTCACATACCTGTGGCATTCAGGATGTCCTTCAGAAGGGGTTGCAGAACAAGGGGGGCAGTATGTGGTAAGAGATAGGTGAAGAAATACCTACAAATATATAGAAAGACTTGCATATGTGGATATAGATATATATGTTTAGAAAGGCTCAAGAGCTGTGTAATTTATCTTCTGGACTCAAGTACACGAGGGGCAGATACTGATAAAATAAAGATTTTTTTTTAAAGTCTAATGGTTTCCATGTCTCGAATCCAGTAGTATGTTGCAACTAGAGTAGGCCCATTGAATCAATGGAAGTTACATAAGTGTTGACTCATCAAATCACCACTGATTCAATGGGCCTGCTCTAGTTGTAACTCAGTACTGAACTTTAGCTTTTCATAATTATGTCTTTCATAATTTTGAGGGCTTGACCTATGATTTGTTAGCAAACTAAGATAAAAGTTTCTTTTGCAGAACCAAACTGGCCTTTGGCAGCAAATATTGGGGTTGACTGAGAGTCAAACTGAAGCCCCTACTTCAGTTTTAACCTTTCCTTTGGCCTTTTCTTGCTGGTCTGTTCCTTGCTCAATAAGAAAAAAGGTCTCTGAGTAGCTTAGAAGAATTTTTTCCCCCACCAGGAATTGCCCAGGCGCATCAGACTACAATTATCTAAAGGTCATACTGACTGTAGATGATGGGAGCTATATTGCACCACATCTGAAGTGTAAGGAACAGCTTCAACAAACACTACACCTGATAGGCCTTCTTTCGTGAAACAGTGCTGCCAGATGGCACTTTCTCGTTTGGATGTGTCCCTCCCAACAGTATACAAGGTCCTAGGGAATCTCCCACGTTTCATTTTGTGTGAGACAACTACAGTCGTGCTCCGTTTTACGATTACCCCACATAACGATGAATCTGCTTCACAATGACGATTGCAAAAGCGATCGCAAAATGATGGTCTAAATAGGGTTTTTTCACTTTGCGATGATCGGTTCCCTGCTTCGGGAACCAATTCTTCGCAAAACGATGGTTTTTTTAACACCTGATCGCGGTTTCAAAATGGCCGCTGGATAATTAAAATGGCTCCCCGCTGTGTTTAGGGACAGATTCCTTGCTATAAAGGCACTGAAAATGGCTGCCGTATGGAGGATCTTCGCTGGATGGTGAGTTTTTAGCCCACTGGAATGCACTGAAAGGTTTCAATGCGTTTCAATGTGCTTTTTATTTTTGCTTTATGACGTTTTCGCTTAAAAGTGAATTTCCTGGAACGGATAATCGCCGTAAGTGAGGCATCACTGTATCAGTTTGAGCAGCAGCAAATCCATTTTTTGCTTAAATCTGAACTGCTTGCCAGTTAAACCCTGTCAACAAAATTCTAGTGAAGGTGTTTTCCTTATTCCTCCTCCTCATCTGCCCCTTTCCCTTTTGCATTACTTCTTTTTTTCAGTCTATGGGCTGGGATTGTCTTTTTAATGATATATGCAAGCTACCCTGCAAGCCTTTCCAAGTGAAGAGCAGGGTAAAAATGCAAAAAACAAATAATTCCACCCCCACCCCTTTCCTAAAATGTTGTGCATACCTGTATGCATTGAAGAGATTTTTTTTCTCATTTATCCCTTCACATCTCTTATGCATGCCACATCTGAGATAGAACCTCTTTGTGGGGAACTCGAGGGTGCAATCATGATCCAGCTGGCATGATGGTTCTTTGGTGCTCACATCGTCCAGGTCGGTGACTTTCAAGCTTCCATTCACCATAACAAATTGCCGAGTCTGGAAATCCAAGAGGGCAATGGAACCTAGGGGAGAATTTGCCAAGTAATAGAGCAGTTCTACCAGATCCAGGCAAATCTGAAAAGAGAGGAGGTGAACACAGAGTGTTTCTGAGTTTTTGAATAAGAATAGAAGTGATGAAGTGGACTAATATACAAATATCGTTTATATATAACAGAGAAGACGGAGCAAACCTGTTTTCTGTTGCTCCAGGAGGGTAGGACCAAAACAATACTTTTGAAGAATACAAAGAAAAAAGACAGAAATGGGAAATAACAAAGAACAGGAAAGATATTTTAAGCAAAATTGGGAAATAACAAAGAACAGGAAAGATATTGTAAGCGAAATATATAAATTACAGTGGTGCCCCCTAGACGATTGCCACACAGGGCGAAAAACCCGCAAGACGATTGGTGTTTGCTATCGCTATGGTGCCTCGCAAGACATTTTTTTCTATGACCGTGCTTCATAAGACCTTTTTTTTGAGACCGATGCTTCACAAGACAAATAAATTTCATTTATTTCACAAGATGACTTTTTCACAAGACAAGTATTTCGTGGAACAAATTAAATCGTCTTGTGAGGCACCACTGTATTGGTACAAGCAGAATATGAAACATCCATGATAAAAGATTTGCAGCAGGAGGATTTGGGTAAAGAAATCAAAGGGGAAGAATGGAACAAGATATGGAATAAAGGAAAAATGAAAAACATGTCAGTAAGAATCAATTGCTGCAGGGTAATATGGAAATGCTATTTTAACACCTGTTAAATAATAACTTTAAATACAGTGGACCCTTGACTTACAGACGGCTTGACTTACAGACTTTTTGAGTTACAGACTTCTCTGGCCGCAAAATTTAGGTTTGACTTGCAGCCTGAGAATTGACTTACAGACCAGAAAAAAACCAAAATGGAACAAAAACGGCCTGTTACGGGATTAATCGGTTTTCAATGCACTGTAGGTCAATGGAGACTTGACCTACAGACTTTTTGACTTGAGAACCGCCTTCCAATACGGATTAAGTTCTCAAGTCAAGACCCCACTGTACATTATAAATAAAAAAACTATCATCTGTATGTTGGAGGTATAAGAAAGAGAAAGGGACATATATGCGTATGCGGTGGTTTTGTGAAAAAAGAACGAAGGAATGGAGCCTGGTTTTTAATGAAATAAGAGACATAATAGTAATTGACATACAACCGTCTCCTATGATTGCTTTACTGAGCACTATTAATGGTAAACAAATAAAGAGATTAAAAAGGAGTTAATTACCATAATGGTAAGTGTGGCAATGCTACTAATTGCAAAAAAAAAAAATGGATATATGACAATCAGATTAACATAGAAGAGTGATACAGAGAAATGTGCAATATGGTAAATAATGATAAATTGACGTGATATGAAAATTTGAAGATGTATGTTAATGCCTCTTCATTATAAATGCCTCTTCATTATAAATTCAGGTGAATTGTAAAGTTAGTCTTGGAACCTAATCCCAAAGGGGAGGGTAGCACTGGGTGTAGGAAAAAATATATAAAGAGTGATATTGTATAAGACCAGTGGATTTTCATGAAATAAGAGACATAATAGTAATTGACATACAACCATCTCCTATGATTGCTTTACTGAACACTATTAATGGTAAACAAATAAAGAGATTAAAAAGGATTTAATTACCATAATGGTAAGTGTTGCAATGCTACTAATTGCAAAAAAAAAAAAGGATATATGACAATCAGATTAATATAGAAGAGTGATACATTTTTTGTGTTTGTGTGTTTGTTATAATATAAAAAATAATTTAATATTTTTTTAAAAAAGATTCCCATTATGAGAAAGGAGAGTCCAATTAATCTCAGAAACAACTTCCTTATGCTTCAGGATTCTTTGACAACAAAACAGACTACCTGGGTGAAATTCACTGGAGGTTTTTAAACAGCATTTGGAGAGACATATGTCAATAATGTTCAAGCTGTGGATTTCCTACATTGGCAGGGCTCAAACTAGATGATCTTCAGAATCCCACTTTTATAGTTCCATGGCTCACAATATTTTCTTGTAAAGCTCTGTTGGTGCATCATGAATCATGTCACTGGAAAAGGCTCAAAGCCGCCTAGAGTGGTCGTATAGACCAGATGGGCGGGGTACAAATCAAATCAATCAATAAAATTAATGCCTCTAACGGAAATGTTCATTTTCTGAATTTTGGGGTGCATGCAGTTTTGTCTCATTGTGTGCAACTTGTGTGCATCACAAAATAGAAAAATACACTATTTCATTAGTGTCAATCTGCTGCCGCCACTGATATTTTTTCTGGTTGGGCTAGCGCTGGCCTACAGTTTGATGTTCCTAGCAAGTTCAGGTCTCTGATATATAAGTAGCCGAACTATCCTAAAGTTTGCAAAAATACAGAAAAAATCTTTAGCATTAAAAAAAAAGTGCCCTGGGTAGCATATCCCTGCAAAGAGATGCACTAAGCATGCTGTATGAGGTGAGCAGGCAGCTATCTATGTGGGACAGAGAACCAGCAGGACAGCAGAATGGAGTGGAGTAGCCTGGGCAAAAATGTGGCTGGCTGACAGCCTGGAGTACTCTATATTGCAAAATTTTGTTGCAAGTTTCACTTGTTTTGGCATGAATTCCTGGTTGCTTAATTTTATTCTTCCAAATCCTTCAAGTCTTGTGTTAGAAGGGCAGGCTGGACCAACTCCTTTACTCATCTTTTTTTCAAAAAGGCTCAAATTTCATTAAAATACATGCAACTCCATGATCGTGACTTTTCAGATTACAACCTGTTTGTCTTCCCATTTTAGAAAGCCTTTTTAAAAATGTATGTTGCAAGCCAGCTGGGTTTTGCAAGACTGGATATCTTAAATATAATATAAAAGAGTAAGTTTGCAAGTTATTTCCTCTCCTTGCATTACAGTTATAAAGTCAACCCACCACCATTTCTTGCCCCATTCTTCCTTCCAACCCCTTTGTGATTCCATAAAACATTCTTAGTGAAAGTTCCAATACAATTTCAAAGGAATTTTGGCAATGCAATTACGAAGACACCAGAACCAAGATTACGAAAAAGTCTTTCCAAATGCAAAGAAAAAGAAGGTCACATCTGCCGTAGCTCTTTGCCCTCCTGAGATCTTTGAAGGGGCTCAGTTTGGGGTCTAAACACTGCTAAATGATACCCCCTGGCTTTTGTTTTCTTACTTTAAATCTCTCTTCCCAGGGGGTTTGCAGAAGATTAATCATCTCCAAAGGAGTTCCCAACTCCAGCATGGTGACCACCTTCATCTCCGGAGCTGAGCTCCTATCATAGCACCGACCACGCAGCTGTCAAGAGAGAAAAAGGCAGAGGTTGCCGTATAAATAGAGAGGTAAATGCAGGAGTCCCCTTTCTAAACGAAAACAGCATTATGCACTGATATGGGTGGGGGAAAGGTTAATTAAGATTTATCCCTGCCCCTCAAATCTCTAGGCAAAATCTTATCAATTAGTTATATCAGTATAAGTGCAATGACATATATCATAAATACAGTACTACTGTTACTGAATAAGTTGTGGAGCACATTAACTCACACAACTGGCATGGACATGTTAACTCATAGCAATGTAATATAGCAGTTTCTGTCACTGCACTCACACAAGCCCTAAACGGCTTGGGCCCTGGATACCTGAAGGACCGCCTTCTTCCATATGAACCTACCCGGCAGTTAAGATCTAGCCAGAGGGCCCTTTTGAAAGAGCCGTCCCTCAAGGAGGTAAGAGGGATGGCTTGTAGAGAAAGGGCCTTTTCGGCAGCTGCCCCCAGACTATGGAATGCCCTCCCGACTGAAAATAAATAAATGAATGAATGAATGAATGAATGAATGAATGAATGAATGAATGAATGAATAAATGAATAAATAAATAAATAAGCGTAGCTAACTAATAGGATTCTGGCACATGGAATTCTCCTACAATAAGAACACTCCTCCATGACTAGTTCTAAACATACTGATACTGGATGTAAACTAGAGTGTTAATTAGTCTGGTTTTCGAGTTGAGTGTTTACCCACATGGAGAACAGTGTGTTTCCACTGATGTTTGTTTACTGTTCACGCAGCCAAAAGTAATTTTCCAAAGAGGTATAGCAATCTGCTTTCTGTGACTTCCCTTCTCACCATCCTGTGAGTTCTATCAGGGCATTAACAGTAATTAAACCAAGAGAGTTTAGATTTCATTTAAAGAATGCAGATACTGCATGTCAATGTCAAGCACACCGATGTTGCTTGTCAAACTGCACTTCATGTGCATGATTAAACATTTCCAATTTAATTCCACGTCTGACGCACCTCTGTCTTTATTGCTGACTGTGAAATAAAGGAATGCAGGCAGATAAGTGGTTTAGGCATCTGGCCGTGGAACCAGAGATTGGGATTTTGATTCCCTGCTGTGCCTCCTTGACTTGGGCTGGACTTGATGATCCACAGGGTTCCTTCGACAGTTCTAAGATGATGATGATGATGTTAGCCCAGTAATGTCAGCTCTGACTAACTGTTGCTCTCGAGGTTTTTCACACAGGATTTTTTCCAAGCCAACTTTGGGAACCTTCTCGATTTTACCCTTTGTTTGTACAGTTAAATCCAATGAGAGCCAGGAGACTTTTCTGTCATTTTATCACTTAGTTAATCATTGGTTAATTGACTAAATACCCAGTGTGGTGTAGCGAATAGTGTGACAGACTAGGACTCTGGAGACAGGGATCCATTCCCCACTTGGTCATAGAAACCCACTGGAAAGTGAAACTGGTAGAACCACTCCTTAAATATCTCAGTCACCCTTAAAACTCTATTAGGGTTGCTGTAAGTCAGTTCTGACTTGACAGCACATAACAACGATTGACTAAATGCATGCATGTTACTGAAACCTAATATGCTTTTCACATACTAAAGGAATTGCCAGATGGTAGGTGTGTTAGTGCAGCAAACATACACACAAAAAGATCTTGTTGGTCCCTTTTAGGATTACAACAGAAAATATGGCCTTTACCTTCCCTTTCAAAAAGGGGAAATGCATAGGAAGTAGACAAACAAGAAATCTTGGGATTGAACCTCATGAGTCGTTATCACTGGCATACCTAAAAATAAAAAGCCACTTGACTTGAAGCCATCAATAATAGTTAGACCTAGTTGAAGCATGCTTCCCTCTGTTTCACAAGCAACTCAGTAAAATCCAGCTAAGCAGAAATATCATTGGCACAAAGTTATGTCAAAGCATAATGTGACCTCTCCAAACCACTGCTTTTATGGGGGCGGGGAGCAAGAGAGACTTATTTTATAGACATAAAAGAACATGCCCTGATTTGCAGAACAGTCTGTTATGGTCCTAAATGTTAAGATGTAACTGCAATGAATTCAATGCCAAAACTGCATCATTCTTTGCAACCAGTCGTGATATGAAGGCATGCTCTAAGGCTGCAACCTTGCGCACAGTTACTTGAAATTAAGTCCCACTGACCTCAGACGGATTTCTCTTCAAGTAAACACACTTAGGATCACTTAGGAAACAAAAAAACTGCTAGGTGACAAAATAATAAGGAGGTGCAATTCTACTACTGAGCATTTTAAAAAGCATCAAAAATTCTACGTTCTGAACAGTGTGCATATAGCATGGGACTGTTAAGCAGAATGCAACCCCAGAACATTTCACATTTTTGTTAATCCTGAGCCATATGAAAATAATGGTGAAAACCATGGGCAGAGATCATTTTCGTTCCCAATGACCAGCCACAGGGCACGGTGGGTGGCTTGTGTTATCAAGCGTGGCTCCTACGTAAGACCAACCCTGGCACAATCTTATCCATTTTTCCCCAAAAATATTCCCCCTGTGTTCAGTACGCCTTCCTCCCAGGTAAGACTGAAGCTTCAGTCGGGCACAACCCAAATTGGATTCCAAAGGATGGAGCACGGGATGGCACCGCCTCGAACCCCTTTTTCGGTGCAAAGGCGGACTACGCGTCCAATACACCGAGGCGCGCAAAAGACGCCCCGTGGGTTGCAAACACACACACACACACCCCAGATTAACTCCGTATTCTCCAGAGTCGCAGAACGGGCTGGCATTTGGGTGGATGCCCGCCCTCCCTCCTTTGCCCAAGGCCGGTATATCCTACGTGCCTTGACGATGCCCGGGTGATCGAGGCTCTGCATCAGCACCGCCTCGTGGAGCAGCTTGTAGGCAGCGAGGCGGTAACAGCCTCCCGGGTGCCCATAGCGCTGCACGCAGCGGCTCACGTCGTTGCCAGCCCAGTGCACGGATTTCAGGGCGATCTCCTCGCCGCTGGACGGGAGAGTGGCCCTCAGCACCCGCTTGGTGATGCCGGATCCCACGAAGCTCACGCTGGTCACCTCCTTCAGAGCCGAGCAGCCCAACAGCGCCGCTGCTGCCAAAGGTGCGCGCCTTCGGGGAAATGCGCCCGCTCGGGCTCCGGCATCGGCGGCTGCCTCCAAACGGTTGACGTCCTGCTGCCGGCGCTCCAGCTCCCGCACCAAGCTCCGGGGCAGCGGGGAGTCCGAAAGCCGCCAAGGGCCCGACAGGACAAGGGCCACCGTGAGCAGGGCGGGGGTCGCCAACCAGACGAGGAGCGCCTCGGGAGCCGGCATGGCGAGGGGCGGCGGCGGGGCTCGAACCGGCGACCGAGCATTCGCCGCGCGCGTCTTCAAGGACGCCTAGCAGCTGGAAGGAGAGGCGGAGGGGCGGGTCTGCAGGCAGTCCCCGCCCCGCCCCCCAGGTGGCCTCTCGAGAGTCCCTTCGCCTCGCCAAGAGAGCAGGTAAGAGGTCCAAAACCTCAAAAGCTGCAGACGCCGCCAGCGCCTCTGCCTGCCGAGGGGTCGCCGGGTCCATCCACAGAGGCCTCCTTTGGTTACCGTCGCCTGCTTCCTCCTCTCCTACTGGAAGACTGAGCGTTTATCGTGGCTCCCGTGACTTTCCATGCGGCCACTTTAAACGCAGATGATCATTCTGGAGCCCTCGAAACGGAGTCTTCAGCCGATGAGTTCCTCTCCTTACTTCAGTTTTGTCCCCATTTATTTTAGCACGAAGGGTCAGTTGTACCGACCTGTACCGTTCGTTTCCCTTTCCGTAACCGAAGTGTTCTGCATTTTATGAGTTTCATGATTTCTGGATCTTTATACATTTGTCTTTGTACCCCCTCATTTTTGGCTGGCTCCAAAAAATTTTCACCCCCTGCAATAAATCCTTATTTCAAGTGCTTTTATATTTGTCTTCAGTCTGTATCAAAGTCTACAGTCCAAAGTATTTTTGCATTGCACTGAACTGTACAATGCACATCACCGACGCCAAATTTAAGATTTTATTGTGTGTTACAATGTTCATCTTTCAGAAGCTGCTCCGGGCCATCTCTGTTCTGCATTTTATTGCACAGCTATGCTCCTACAGTTCATTTAACCAAATTCCAGGTTACTTATATCTGTCAACACACTCCATGCATTTATTTTGGATTGTCAACTGCATTTATTGGACTGCTTGCTGTTTAACTAACGACAGGAGACTTGATTTCCTTAACATTCACATTTAGAATGAATTCCTTTCATCCTTAACTTCCTTGAGTAATATTTGCAGACCATCTAAACTGTATCACCCACATATTGCATATTTTGGTAACTTCTCCGTTGACAATGATGTCATCATTAGAATTATGGAATGTTTCTCTAAAGATGTTCTCTGAGTACATATTGAATGCAGTGGTGATACCATACTGTACATCTTTGTCATTATCTTCTTATCTCGGGTGTTCTGTGTCATCTGCTCTTCAACGTTCTCTGCAGCTGTTTGTTGCTAGTACACTTCCCCTTGAATTGTAGAGGCCTGAACAGTACAATTTTGGTTATATGTAGATTTTCCCCCAATAAATAAATATTGCAATAAATACTGTGCCACCCACAACCCCATGAGTTCAATACTGAATGCGTCAAACTGGCCTATTTGCCCTCAAATGCAACATCTCTCTCTTTCATGGATTGCTGCCTTGTCGTGGAGAAGGGGCTTGAGTAACTCAGAGAAGCTATGGGCTATGCCGTGCAGGGACACCCAAGATGGACAGGTCATAGTGGAGA